AGGAGCGAGGTTGTGAATGGCCTTGAAGGTCAGGAGCAGAGTTTTGAAATCAATGCGGTATTTAACTGGAAGCCAATGAAGCTGCTGAAGGACAGGAGTAATGTGATTAATAGAAGGGGTTCTGGTGAGGATACGGGCTGCAGAGTTCTGAACCAGTTGAAGTTTATGTATGGATTTGAGTGGAAGACCAACGAGAAGAGAATTACAATAATCAATGCGGGATGTGACCAGTGCGTGAACTGAAAAAGCCAGACTGTGAGAGGTATTAGTAGTCAGTTGCTGGCGAATCTTGTTCACTTTAGAATAAGAAAATGACATTAAGGAGTTACAGTAAGCAGATGAGTACAGATGAGATGCAAGAGAGTCCGGTGGTTGTATTATGTTGTTGACCATAGAGAACAGGGTTCTGGTATTACCTTCGCCTGAACTGATTATATCTGCATAATAGATGGATTTGGCTGTAGAAAGAGCATCCTTGTAGTGGAGAATGTGGTTTTTGTACATTTCTTGGTGCACAACGAGTCCAGTTTTCTTGTAAAGGGGTTCCAGGCGACGACCTTTTACCTTGAGCTGGCGTAGTTCTGATGTAAACCATGGGGCAGAATGGGTGAAGGAAACAGTCCGGGTTTTTAAAGGAGCCAGAGAATTTAAAATGTTTTGTAGGCCATCGTTGTAATGAAAAACCAGATCATCAGGGTTGGAAAAACAGTTTATAATGGGGCGGCAGTCAATTTCAGTAGAGAGTGTTTAAATTAATGTCCTTAATATTTCTGAATGAAATGACACGTGGCAGTTTTATTTTGGATAGTGTTAAGTTGACATTAAAAGAAATTAACATGTGATCAGAAATGGGGAGGTCAGCTGCAGTGCAACCATGAGGAGTGACACCAGAGCAGCAAACCAAGTCCAAAACACGACCTTTGGAGTGAGTGGGAAAGTGAATATGTTGCTTCAATCCAAAACTGTCCAGGCAAGATGTAAATTCCCTTGTATATGCATTAGTGGTATTGTCCATATGTATATGAAAATCCCCCAGCAGTATTATGTTAGGGGAGAGTGAGCAGATAAATGTGAGAAAAGCAGCATGTCTGTCTGTCATCAGTATTTAAATAAAAAACTGGGATTTGAAACAAACACGTCTGAAAGAAAATGACAAAAAAAAAGATGACTAAGACCCTGACCATGAGGACCAACCATGTGGAAGCATGTGATTAATGTGCAAATCCTTGCCAGTTTATGCCTGACCCACTTATTCAGTGTTGTTGGCCAAGACACAGACATGTTGCTACTAGAACGGCAGATGCCACTGTCGCTAAATGCACTTACCCTATTTTGCTCACTAAGATGAAGAATAGCCTTGTCTTTAAACAGATGCTTTTACTCCAGTTCCAAAAGCATGACTTAGTTTTTGATTTACTACCAAACGAATGAAGGTGACATAAATTGTGAAACATCCCCATTGTAACTATTTAGTGGACTAAAAACGTGCAAAGGATATAAAACAGTGAATTACACTGACTGACATCATATATTTGCCTAAGTTAAGCGCCCTAGATTAAGTTATTTGATTTTTACACACATAATCATTTAATCAGAATTCGTATCTTAATGAAAAACTAATTTATATGTTTTAATGTTGCTTACATGTGAAAGAATAGAAGACGAAATGTAAAGTTAAAGTCTCCTGTAGGTATTGAGGGCTTGTGGGTACAGTACAGGCTGGCGGAATGGCACACTAGAGTGAAAGAGGTATGTGAAGCCTTGCAAAGAGGGGTCACCATGACTTTTCGCACAGTTTCTATTTATTAGCGAGGCCCATTGATGCTCTTTGATAGCAGTGTGTATTTTGGGGTGTTGTAATGTTAATCTCAGCCTCTCTTTCTCTCTGCCACAGAGGTGTGGAGCAGTCGCATTTAAAAGGTCGGAGCAGAATGCCACGCAAGTTCGCATGCTGGGTAAGAACTCTTAACTGACCTGAATACCTCAGTGCAAAAGGTTGTTAATATATATAGTTAGCTGCAAATTGATGGTGCTGAATGTGTCCTAATATTTGCTAACAGTGCTTCAGACTGTAATTAATGTTTGGCCTAATCTCTGTGAAACATGGAGGCATATTTCTGCTATCTCTGTCAATTTGAAGTAAGTAAGTAATAAATCTGAACCCACCTAGTTGAGAAGCCTGTACGCAAGTGTTAAGTGTTTTACTCCAGTCATGGGTGAAGTAGTGTCTGGACTGGAGACTAAAATGTAGCTGTTTATCATAACTACAGTTTCAGACCTTGAAATGTAGCTAAAGCTTTTTCTTCTCCATATTAAAGTCAAAGTTGTTTAAAAGTTCCCTGAAAAAGTGCTTAGTTGTGTGCAAGTTTGAAGCAGCCTTAAACATTACTCATTATTCATAATGCACATGCACAAAAAAGCAGTAATGTAGATACAAACACTTGCCAGAGTTTTCTTTAGACCGGCCATTTCAGTCACTGGCTGACCCTCTGCTACCACCTGCCAGAAAATGTGACCTGTGGCTTCATTGAAGGGAATCAAAAGTAAGACTTTGCCACTCACACACACATGCTGAGTGCTCAGTCGTACTCCATACTGGGCATCTCGTGTGTTTGTGTGTGTGTGTCTGAGAGTCTGAGAGGGAGGAAGGGATCATTGGAGCCAGCAGTCCACTGGCTGACTCCCAAGTTTACTCATCTAGACTCCCACTGACCTTGTCTACTGTCTGATATCTTTCTCCCTCTAATTCTGTGCTTTTATCACTGTATCATTGTTTCTTACTTTCCCTGTCACATGCTCTCTTTTCACACATTCACACAGTTACGAACCTTGGCTCCGTTTCTTTGCTGCTACTGTTCTCTTTCAGCTTTATTCACACATTCACATCTATCAAAGTCACATATTGTATTTTACAGTACAGGTTTTATAATTTTGTTTTACTGGTTAAAATAAATAGGGGTAGTTTCGCTGTCTTTGGCACTGTTTCAGTCTAACATAATGATGCCATTTTTACGATGGGAAGGAGCATAGCCGATGTCGCCTAGCAGAAGAGAACATGATGGAAACAAACAGAGACCAAAAAGTCAAGCAGTGCAATGTTTCGTGAGTGAGAATAATTGTATAATCCAGTTCATCAGGTTTAAGTGCAGAGCTCACCCCAAGTTCACCTCGTTCTTAAAAAGCTCACCCACCTCCACCTTCAAATGTTGCATTTTCCCTGTTCGTTTCCCTTTTCCACACACAACTGCATCATAAATTCGTTTTGATGGAGGTTTGGTACAGAAACACATGAGAATTCATGTTCCCGCAGGATTTCAGGGGTTAACTAGTATCGTGACTGTAATCAGAAACATGTTGTCTTTCAATATGTGACTGTGAAGACAAACAAACATGCAAGCATGTTGGTGAAAAAGGTCTTAGGTGAAGTATGTAGTCGTTGTAGGTTTCAATAATCTTAAGGTGTGTTCACAGCTTAAAGGAAGAAATTGAGGAAGGGACGTGCTTTATTTGTCATGATATCGCTACACCTGACGGAAAAACAATATTTTACACTACAATATGAATTGCTGATCAGAGCTACAACAAAACAACTGTACACTGATCATACATAGCCACGGTGCATTTCCACTGAATCACTTACGTCTCACTGCCTCTCTCACGGTTTCTCACAGCCTGTATCTTTTATCTTAGCGCTCTTTGTCTCATGATTCCTTGCAATCGACTTCTTGTGTCTAATGTATGACGTTCAAGGCTATGTGGCTGCCTGTGTGTTTGTGTGTGTGTGTGTGTGTATGTGTGTGTGTGTGTATCAGTACTTTCGTCTGCGTGTGACTGTTTCTCAAGGGAACATTTCCCTGGAAAAATCTAATGGTTATAGCACTGCATCCTTCATGATTACGTGTATGTAAAGAGGAACGCATGCATCTTATTTACTTCATACATTCACCTAATTGTATTCATGTTAATTAATATCTGATCTTTTAGGCAGCCATAGGAAAGCCTTTGGTGTGACATCTAAGGACAACAAGAAGAGAGTGGTTTCAGTCCCAAACGGATGTTCAGTTTATCTGCGTTAAAACTGATTCAGTTAAGGCTGAATCGGACTCTGACTCTGAGACTCTGCAGAGCACAATTTAGTCTTTAGTTTAGAGGCCATCTTTGACATTTCTTTGAGCTTCCAATAATTTAATGTTTCAATCACAACGTGTCCTTCTGCTTCTATCAGGAACCCTAGTTGCGTTTAAGCCCAAGGCTGGTTAGTCACATGGACAGGAGAATTCAGAACAAATAAATCAAACCCGCCAAAGTGTTTCTATTCCAGTGAATCCTTAATGAGGGGTGACTCACAGCTTGTACCTTGTTTTACCTTCAAGCTAAATATTCTGTTCCAATGGAGGCTGCTCCTGTGGCAATATGTTATTTATTCAGTGTGTCTGGAAACAAGGTGTTTGTGTAAAAGGTTAAATAAATGTGCACAATTAGACACCAAAATGATTGTTTATGTAAATTCACAAAAAAAATAGTTTCAGGTTCAAGCCTCTCAAATGTGAGGATTTCCTGCTTTTCTCGGTTTTATATCATTGTTATTTGAAGCCTTTATTTTTTGGAGTCAACATGAAGGCATCACCTTGGGCTCTGGTAAATTCTGACGGGCTTCTTTCTCTACTTTTTATTATTCTGATGCTCTTAACTGCTTTTATATGCAAAGTCTGTACAAAAGTGTTCCTGTGTGTTATAGAAATGCATGTGGGGAAGGTGTGACTCTGCGTATATGTGTTGTCTTCCCACTGACCTGACTGTGAGACGGCGCTCTGTCCGTGAACCCAAAGCTCTGCACAAATTCTATTGGTCTGCCATCGGGGTAGCAGCACATAGGCAGAGTGAGAGAGTGTGTAAGCGAGCTCCAAGTGGGGAGGGGAGGGGCTTTCAGACTCTACAACAACACTGGCGCGAGTGAGACTGTTGCGGGGAGAGAGAATGCGGCAGAAGGAGGCAGCAGACCGTCAGCGGCCGACTCCGGGAGAGAGGGATAGAGACAGATTCTCACTTCTTTCATCGAGCTTTACAGCGCTTCTTTTCCCTGCACCTTTTTTATCACTCCACACCCATTCTCTTTCAGTTTCCCTGTCCCTCTGTCCTTCCTGCTGCTGATTCTGTCTCTCCCTGCTGTTTTTTTATTCTGCTGTCCTACATCCCGACTTGCTACTATCTCTGTCTGTCCTCCTCTTCCTCACCTATGGCTACCTGACAGTGAGATTGTCCTTCCACCATCTCTTTTCCTCTCCCACTCTCTTTTTCACCACCGTCTTTTCTCTCCCCTTCCTCAGCTTCAACCCTCCCTTCACTTTGATCTTTCCTTTCCTTGCACCTGTCCGTCATCCATCTGCTTTCTTTTGGAGTGAGGATGCCAGTGTTGGAGGAGCTTTGGGGCCCAGATCTCAGGATGCGGGACTCCGGTCTCGGTGTTGGGGTCGAAGTCGGGGTCTGTCCAGATGAGGCTCCCCGTTCACCGCTCTGGGGGCCTCTCAGGATGCCTCCTGTTACCTGCGGGGGCCTGTCGCTGGCCCTGGAGCTTCCTGCCCTCATACGGCACCTCAGGGCGGCCTGGAAGGCTCGCAGGGGAGGCCCTCTGGGGCCTGAGAGAAGTCAGAAGAGCGCTTGGGTACAAGCAGAGAAGGAAGAGGTAGAGGAGGTGAAGAATGACATAGAGGACAGGAGCGCTCATCTTGAGGGTAACTTTCACGTACTACATGATGTACATGCTTATGGGAGTCAGATATCTGATAAATATTTAACGTCTAATGTATGTTTTACAGCAACTGTGTATTCTACATGAAAACACATTCATGGTAGAAAAAAGACATCCTTCCTCCTTTGTGTAGTGATTTGTGTTTAATTTATTGTTCATTTGTCTCTTTAAAATAGTGTTCATGTTTTTTGGCAGGCCACACATTATGAATACATGTGGTCTTGTTTTTGTGTGGTTTTGTGCACCAATTCCTGGATTTGAATATTTGAACATGCCTGGGTGACGTGTGTGTGTGTGTGTGACAGATTATTTTTGACAAGCACGCCTCTGGCATTATATTTACGTGCGTGTGTGATTTGTGAGTGACGTAGTTCGAGACGAGGTTCAGAGCAGCCCAGACACCCAGGCAGAGTAGACAGTGAAATGGGGGATTTGGGTTGTAAAGCCCAAGACTGTCCATTAAATAAAGCTCTGTTAACATCTGCTGAGCTGCAGCTCTACTGATGACGCTGAGGTGACACCATCAGTCGAGCTGTCCCATCTCTCTGGAGTGTAACACCACGCAAAGTAACATTGTTGACAGTTAGATGTGAATGACTTCAATAGAGACAGGATGATTTGACATTAAAACAATGACCAGATCTAATCATCAGGCTTTCTGCCTCATACATTGATATCATGTCGTTGTTAATGTCAGATTGACACAAGACTGAAGCTGTCAAATGTTTTTTGATAAAGGTGATGTCATCGCCGTTTAGTGAGCATGATGCAGTAGAAGACTTTACTTTGATATTAGCATATAAACACGAGTAGTGAATGCTGAGATTGACAAGCATTGTCTTTACAGAGTAATAATTTAAGCAGTGATCAGCTGGTTACAAAATTGGAAAATTGTACATATAAATGTGCTTTTGAAGAGTTATGACGAAGTGATGATTCACACTGTGGGGAATTACCTGAGCACAAGCACTGACTCATAAGGTGGAAAATGGACAAATGCACGCTCTTCACTTCCTGTGACTTTCCCTCTGCATAGTGATGACCTCGTTCATTTGATGACCCTTGACAGAGGGTGAAAGGCTATCTGTGCAATATTTGATCTCACCACAACATGTGTAGGGACGCTGTGAGATAACTTGTCAGCGGTGATAGTGAGTCATTCTGACATTTACTGTAGCAAGGACTGAAAGGGGATAAAAAAAAAAGATCAGTGTTTATAGGTGAAGATGGGTAGAAAAAATTACTCTTTCAGAGTTCAGCATTTTATCCCAAGGATACAGGCCAACTGAAAAATCTTAAAAAAAATGAAAAGTTAACTTTTTCTGATTGTGATTGAGTTGAAATGATTAGTCAATTTATTGATTAGTCAATCGGCAGAATATTTATTGCAGATTATTTTGATAATCAATTAACCGTCCCAAGTGCCAAGAATTCACTTGTTGAAGCCCCTCAAATTAGCTGGTGTTCTTAATTTGCTGTGATATTAAACAATCTTTTGGAATTTAGGCTGCTGGTACATTTAGAAGAAGATGAAGCCACGTTTTCTTTAAGTTCTGAAGTACTTGAAAATGTGTGTGCCTCAATGTGTTTAGAAGAAAGGTGGGATAAGCAAATATAAATCAGTACAACATATCTTTGGAGTGTAACATACAGTATATGTTGGCTTGTTTGCTGCCAAATCATGCAGAAAAGTGTTAGCACTGCCAGTGAGTTAACTGTATCTGGAGATTCCAGCCAGCTGTGTGGATGCACTGTGTGTGTCTATGTATCCGGATAAAGCAGCAGCAGCTGCAGGCAGCAGGAAACTGCCACTGTGTATTTAAAAGTGTTTGTATTCGAGTGTTGCAGTGATGTGTCTGAAAACAGTCCCAAAGCACAATTTGTGCCGTAAACACCCACAGATTCAAATGAACCCATGTGAACATATTTATATCAGTGCCTCGTGTTTAAGTGTGTGTGTGTGTGTGTGTGATGTCTGCCAAGTGTGTGATCTTGTTTTCGCATTTGGAATCAGGGATTTAACCTCATTCGCAAGAGTTTGTGTGTGTGTGTGTGCGCATGTGTGTGTGTGCGCACGCTTTGAGTGTCATGCACAGGTGTGTGATGAGGCACGTGTGCATTGCCACATCTTTAAACACCCTTTGTAACTGATTCACGTTTTCATGCAAAATGACCCACTTCTGAGCTGCGCAGAGACAATGACCTATTTACCACCGGGGGGGGGGGGGGGGGTGATGGATCAAGACAGGGAGAGGGGGTGTTGTTGTTGAATAGGAAGGAATGAAGGATGATGGGAAGGTTGAGTGGGTAGTAAGGGATAGAGAGAAGGATGTGGAGACAAGAGCCAGAAGTAGGGGAGGAATGAGGGATGTGGTGACATATAAAATAGAAGTATGGAGAGATGGCTTGAGTAAAGGAAGAGAGCCAGGGGGTGGTGTGTGTGTGTGTGTATTACTGTGGTGTTTTTTCCAGATGATGAATTTCCTCCGCTTTTCGCCCACGACCATGCAGGATAATAAAAAAGCAACGAGGCTTTCCCCCTTTTCTTGCTTCAACTAGGCCGGCAGCCAGGACTCTTCTGCCTCACAAGGCTGAGTCACTTCCCCCCCAAGCAGTTTATATTTGTTTGTTAGACTATAAGATGCATAAATAGGGAATGATGGCACTTTTCCACCAAATGTGGGTGGCTTACACAGCGCACACACACATTTACCAAAACCACAACACCTGCCCGCAAACTCGGCCTGCCCCTTTGGCAACCTGCACTTCCAGGGCAAGATCTGGCAAACTGAGGGAGTTACCACAGTGACTTTAAACCCATTAACAGGTAGTTTAGCTGCTCTCATAAGCGGGAGTCACAGAGGTGATGTGAATTGGGCACCTCAGGGACATAATACGCTCCAGTTCCTCGCATCTGATCTGTAAATTATTCAGTATTCCCATTTAGTTTATTCAAGTGTAAATTGCCTGTGTGTGCATGTGCACTGTGACTTAGGACCTAGTTCTGTTGTGTCTTCTTGTCACTGGCCGCAGGGTATGTGAACTGCGCATTTTAAACAGAGACAGTATTCAAGGATTCAAGGGGGAAAAAGTGTCAGAAATACATAAGCACGACTAATATTCATTTCCTTTTCTTCACAAGAAAACATTTAAGTTGTTTAAATGGTGCCTATCATGTTATAGAATCAAACACCTTTTTTTTATAGCAGAAAAGCAACTCCTTCTGTTTAATCGTTGGTTATAATACACACAGGTTATGAACCACAAGCCCTGATACCTATGCTGCAAAATGAACCACTCTAACCAATCAGCATCGCTGTAAAACTACAGGAAAAACAAGAATAATTATTGTATGAGCAGAATATACGCAGTCAATGCAGCAGTCTGATCAGTAAAATATGTTCAGATATGCACCATAACAGCTGCACCATGGCGTGAAATCCACATGATGTCCTGGTGATTCAGCGATGTCAAAGATCCTCTTGTTTCATTGAGGCTGATTTAAGAATGTCTCTAGATCTGCTTTTTTGAGGCTGATTATGTTGAACATCAATTCACAGCACTGGAGAACACTTTGCTCAGTTATTCTCTCATCACTCCTGCTTGTCGTCTAGCCATCAACCTTTTGCTTGATTCTTCCTCTGTTTCCTCTTCTCTAGTCTAAACACTGCCTTCTTCTCTCTCCTTCCTCCTGGAAAGTTTGATTCATGGATCTTGTTAGCATGTTTGTAAAAGTAGCCACAACAGAACATCAGTAATGCCTCCAAATATTTATATTTCTTCCTTAATCCCCCCCCCCCCGCTCCTTTTCCTCCCCTCTTTCTTTGTCCGTTTGCAGCTGATGGCAGACTGAACACTAGTCATGCTGGTGTGTTGCTGGTTGAGAGACGAGGCTCCTACCCGCTGATTGACCTGCGAATCCTCAAAAGTAAGTCTTCTGACACATTTAAATACAAAACTACTCAATGTAATGACTTTAATAAAGCTGTTAAAGTGAGTTCTGTACATAAATTAAGGGACACAACCTGATATAAAAAAATCTCTGACAGATTATAAGAAAGCTCCTACAATAATCCATGTGCCAGATTTACCCACATGTATAATAATTATTAAACAGCTAATAATTTTGTTGATGTGGCTACTAATATGTGATGCAGGTAATTATCAGCATTTTGATTTTGGATTATGGGAAATGCTTGTCTCTGAACACAGCTCGGGGACAGAATCAGGGTACTTGAGCCTTAAATTTGCGTCAAGAGAAACATTTGTCTACTTGCCTGATGAAGTACGAAACTGCTCAATTCCAAAAATCCTAGTCCTTTAACAGAGCCGCATACAATTCAGGAATGTCTGCAAGGTAATGTGAATCATTTGAACTTTCAGCCAGTACCCAGCAGGGGGAGGTAGAGTCCGGCACCAGGAGAAAGGTGAAGCGTCTGCTGAGCTTTCAGAGATACTGCCACGCCTCCAGGCTGCTCAGGGGGTTGGTGCCCCACACCCCAGGGTCACTGCACCTGCTGGACGATGACTACCTGGGACAAGCTGTGGTAAGAACACTCGCAGCCCAAACAGCTGTGCAAATGGTACAGGTACCGGCATAGCTCGCTGTATTGCATACGTGTTAGGTGTGAATCACGGATCAGTTCTGATTACAACTTGTCTTTCGTTACAGCACATGCTATCAAAAGTAGGCACATGGAACTTTGACATTTTCCTCTTTGACCGTCTTACAAATGGTAAGATGGCTTTTTGTGTTGCTTAAAATTCAACAGATGTTGTCCCTCACATACCAAATGCCTTCACTTGAACTAATTGTGTGTTTTTAGAAGGTGATGTTGTTTTTTCTCTCATAATACAGTGATCACATACATTATGTACTATAAAATCAAATTTTCAGATAATTGACTTACTGCGCTAAAAAAGTTTTTTTCTTGAATGGTTTTGTGTGTTAGGTAACAGCCTGGTGACTCTGATGTGCCATCTATTCAATGTCTACGGTCTCATTCACCACTTCCAGCTGGACATGGTCAAACTACACAGGTTTCTTGGTAAGGAAGTGTGACAGACTATACCCATCCTCCCTCTCCCCTCTTTTCTCTCCCGCAAGAAGAGATGTAAAAGTGTATCACAATTTTCATCAACATTTTAGGCTCATGACTTTAGAGATTTGCTAGACACTTTGGCAACTTTATACATTTTTAGACTAGTTCTGTTATTAGCAGAATATGTAACTTGAATTTAGTAATTGATGTTCACTGCCTGCAAACTGATCATTTACATGTACATGCACGGCAAATACCCTCACTACAGAAAGTATACATATCCATCCGTCCGTTAAATTCTCGCAATATCCCAGGAAGGACAGGGAACTTCTTTAGATTTGGCACCAGCAATTTGAATTTGGTAGACAAAGGTCAAGGTCACTGTGACCTCAAAATTACCTTGACTAACACATTTTTGGCCATAACTAAGGAATTGATGCAGTAATTATGATAAAATTTCAGACCGATGTTTAATGTGATACAACGATTAAGTGATGACCTTTTTTACATAGAAGGGTATTATTCAATACCATTACTCATGAAAGCAGGAGAGATTGTGATGTCACTTTTATGAATGAATTGGATTGATTGCAGATTTCACACACATGTTGACTGAGACAATACAATGAACAAACAGTAACTAGCACAGTACGGGCTTTACTCCATCCCTTCATGCCTCATTTTGAATATCAAGTGTCATCAGAATCACATGACTGCATACAGCGTGTTGGAGCGAGCCTAGCTAATCATGATCCTGGTAATGAGTTTCACCTACAACTCATAGAGAGGCTTTGCATCTAAAAACGGCAGAAGAAAACGAAAGCACCACGTTTTGTGCAGCTATAGTCTGAATCCATCTTTACAAAGAAATAAAGTACATATGTAGTTGTTTAGCAATACATCTATGATAATACTTAATTAACCAGTTCAATCATACAGTTGTGGCAAAGTTGCAATAATATATGGTTTTATTGAATAATTAAGTAAAGATAATTTCTTAATAAATATACCTAAAGAAACCTAATATCTTGACTGGCCACTCTCTGCTGTCTCAGAAGAGACATCTTTTGTGCTGTGTCAGACACCGTAGCGCTCTTACCCTCTTAGGGGTAGGCTGGATAGAATGTTGCAATTCACAACCCTCACCACTAGATGCTACTACATCTTACACACTGAACCTTTAAGCTAAAGTCTTGGCATGTAAACTGGATTGTACCTATTCCACTGAAGCCTCTTCTCTGAAGAAATAAATGCATTTACATGACAGTTTCAGCAGTGTTGCCAAAAGATCAGATAAAAATGGGAACTTTTAATTGGGTTATCTTTGTGTGTTTGCCAGGCATGGTTCAAGACGACTACCACTCCCAGAATCCCTATCACAATGCTGTTCATGCTGCTGATGTCACTCAAGCCATGTACTGCTACCTGAAGGAGCCCAAGGTAATGAATAATGCTGTATTTACCCCTCCCTCTGCCCACCTCTCTCACTCGCGCACACACACACGCACAAACTATAAGTCTTCACTAGGCCTTAGCCTCTCCTTGACATATTCTATTAGCTTCTCTTCCTGAGGGATCATTCCTGCTCACTTAGACACAACAACACATCCATCGACAGCCTGGAGAAAATCCCTGAACCCCTCTGACCAGATTAAGTGTCTCTGCATCTTTCCTTTTATACCGTAATTGCTTTTGTGTCCTTTGCTGCCCTTTAAGACACTTAGGGATGCACCTATTTTGTTAAAAGCACTTACATAAATTGAATCCAACACAGCACACGATGTGTTGAAGATAACAAGCAGACGCTCACAATATAAGATTCTCTGATCAATATGCCATTTTGTCCTTTATTGATGACGAATGAAAGTCCATAATTATGAGTGTACAGAAATGGAGGCCAGTGTTGAACTGTGTCACTGTTGGAGTTTTTTTTCAGAGGTAAATATACTTAGTTTACCTATTTTACTTATACAGTTCCATCCATCCATCCGTCGTCAACCGCTTATCCTGTGTACAGGGTCGCAGAGACTTATACAGTTGAAAAAAAAAATTAAAACACAATCAGAACTTTCCTGAATCATAATAATAAAATATTAGGAGTTTAGGAGCAAATTTGAGGATGTTAAAAGTGCTCATCTGGGCCCAGTCGCTACGATAACACATTTCCTTTCGTTTTCAATTTCTTTAAACAATCAGACCCCCCATCTGAGCCACAACAAATATACAGTGAGGAAAATAAGTATTTGAACACCCTGCTATTTTGCAAGTTCTCCCACTTAGAAATCATGGAGGGGTCTGAAATTGTCATCGTAGGTGCATGTCCACTGTGAGAGACATAATCTAAAAAAAATATATATATACAGAAATCACAATGTATGATTTTTTTAACTATTTATTTGTATGATACAGCTGCAAATAAGTATTTGAACACCTGTCTATCAGCTAGAATTCTGTCTCTCAAAGACCTGTTAGTCTGCCTTCAAAATGTCCACCTCCACTCCATTTATTATCCTAAATTAGATGCACCTGTTTGAGGTCGTTAGCTGCATAAAGACACCTGTCCACCCCATACAATCAGTAAGAATCCAACTACTAACATGGCCAAGACCAAAGAGCTGTCCAAAGACACTAGAGACAAACTTGTACACCTCCACAAGGCTGGAAAGGGCTACGGGGAAATAGCCAAGCAGCTTGGTGAAAAAAGGTCCACTGTTGGAGCGATCATTAGAAAATGGACGAAGCTAAACATGACTGTCAATCTCCCTCGGACTGGGGCTCCATGCAAGATCTCACCTCGTGGGGTCTCAATGATCCTAAGAAAGGTGAGAAATCAGCCCAGAACTACACGGGAGGAGCTGGCCAATGACCAGAAAAGAGCTGGGACCACCGTTTCCAAGGTTACTGTTGGTAATACACTAAGACGTCATGGTTTGAAATCATGCATGGCACGGAAGGTTCCCCTGCTTAAACCAGCACATGTCAAGGCCCATCTTCAGTTTGCAAATGACCATTTGGATGATCCAGAGGAGTCATGGGAGAAAGTCATGTGGTCAGATGAGACCAAAATAGAACTTTTTGGTCATAATTCCACTAACAGTGTTTGGAGGAAGAAGAATGATGAGTACCATCCCAAGAACACCATCCCTACTGTGAAGCATGGGGGTGGTAGCATCATGCTTTGGGGGTGTTTTTCTGCACATGGGACAGGGCGACTGCACTGTATTAAGGAGAGGATGACCGGGGCCGTGTATTGCGAGATTTTGGGGAACAACCTCCTTCCCTCAGTTAGAGCATTGAAGATGGGTCGAGGCCGGATCTTCCAACGATGAATGAAGCACACAGCCAGGATAACCAAGGAGTGGCTCTGTAAGAAGCATATCAAGGTTCAGGCGTGGCCTAGCCAGTCTCCAGACCTAAACCCAATAGAGAATCTTTGGAGGGAGCTCAAACTCCGTGTTTCTCAGCGACAGCCCAGAAACCTGACTGATCTAGAGAAGATCTGTGTGGAGGAGTGGGCCAAAATCCCTCCTGCAGTGAAAATCTACAGGAAACGTTTGACCTCTGTAATTGCAAACAAAGGCTTCTGTACCAAATATTAACATTGATTTTCTCAGGTGTTCAAATACTTATTTGCAGCTGTATCATACAAATAAATAGTTAAAAAATCATACATTGTGATTTCTGGATTTTTTTTTTTTTAGATTATGTCTCTCACAGTGGACATGCACCTACGATGACAATTTCAGACCCCTCCATGATTTCTAAGTGGGAGAACTTGCAAAATAGCAGGGTGTTCAAATACTTATTTTCCTCACTGTACATTATTCACAGATAACACTGGATATTTTGAGCATGTGTTGTCCAAGATCATTCAGAGAGAAGCTTTTAGGAGGCGATCTCAGAAGGATGGACTGACTGGATGTGCAATAAGGAATGCAGTTCTTAAAATGTTGTATTATGTGGAAAATTTAAAAAGGTTATGACATTTTGTTCTTAAAATCCACCCTGAATCCACCCTTCTGTTGGGATCAGGGTAATCCTGTTTTTTTTGTTGGTTTTTTTTTGGATCAAAAGGATCCCGATCCTACTAAAAAGTTTTGAACAACACAAACTGAAAGTTTTTTGGAACAGCCCATTTTCAAGATTTGATCCAATCCAATAGCCGAAATCCAATCTGATTACTTTTGAACAACTGGGCCCTGATGATGTAGAAATCAAAGCTTTTTTTTTTAACCCAGTACTATATATATCTAAGAATTAAAGGGCTCAAGTCCTGCACTGTTCACCAACATGAACACCTTCGAACACCCTTCATTTAAAATTTAATGTATTGGAGAAGACCCACAAAAAATAAAATATTCACTGTCTTTGTATCCATCATCATTGAAAAACTGACAAGGTGACAATAATGAAGAAACCGGATGCTAATCAGGATAAACACTGTAAATTCAGCTCTTCATGGTGTCTCTCTTGAATCTTTGAAGAAAAGTTTTTCAAAGTTTCATTCGAAATGTGTGCAAGTGTCCTTCCTACACAAGGAACAACCATTTCCCTGTGAACTTTTCGTATGTTGTAGCTGGCAGAGCAGCTGAGTCCTCTGGACGTGTTCCTGGGTCTGATGGCAGCAGCGGCCCACGACGTGGACCATCCAGGGGTCAACCAGCCCTTCCTCATCAAGACCCGACACCACCTGGCATCCCTCTACCAGGTACACACGGGCGTGCTGATATGTGTCTGTGTGTGGGTTAACACATGTGTGGCATGTTTAGTGTCCGGTCTGTAACCAAGTCTGTTTCTAACACGCTCTGGATGTTACCCGTCCGTGTACAGAACACGTCTGTGCTGGAGAGTCACCACTGGAGATCCACAGTGGGCATGCTGCGAGAGTCAGGACTGCTGTCCCACCTGCCTGCTGACATGTCGTAAGTACACACACACACGCACACCAGAGTCTGTGCATTTTTAAGGCTGATATCAATTCTTGAGATTTTTTACAGAAACACATCACTTACTCCTTTGGTCATTGAAGAATTCTGATCAAGACAAATTTTAACCAGTTGTAAAATAACCTTGTCAGTGCTTTGTACTCACATCAGTATATTTGATCATTATGGATTTGGTGACATAATCTCCTTTCATCTACCAGCCTCCTCTGAAAGGTCAGGGTCTTCTCTCCAATTAGCACACAGCTGTAAAAAGGTATAGAAAGTGGACCGCCTTTTATAAGTTACAAGCAAATGTACAGCATATTCCTAAACCTGTAGCTGTTGCTGGGGTGCAGGTAGAATCAGAAATTACCATAGCATTAGTAGTTTTGTTGTTTTGGCTCAGTGGTGTCCCCCTCTACTCTGCAGGCAGGACATGGAGCAGCAGCTGGGCTCTCTCATCCTGGCTACAGACATCAGCAGGCAGAACGAGTTCCTGTTGACCTTCAGAGAACATCTGGACAACCAGGACTTAGATCTTCAACTCACTTCACACAGGCATTTCATACTGCAGGTATGCTTCACACCCACCTGACAGTACAGCATATCCATGAAATTTTCACAAAAATTATAATATGTATGTCATTGAATAACTTGCATTATGCATTTATTTAAATAGCAAAACTAGCATAGCTACACAGTACAGTATGTGTGAATCCCTCTCTCTTTGCCTTCAGATTGCTCTGAAGTGTGCGGACATCTGTAATCCGTGTCGGGTTTGGGAGCTGAGCAGACAGTGGAGTGAGAGGGTGTGTGAGGAATTCTACAGACAGGGTGAGTAAAGTGTCCTTTCAGTTGAAATAGATTATCAATATAAGAAGTAGTGTTGTCAAAAATATCGAGTTTCTGATAAATATCGATTGCGAATATTTTAGACGGTTTTTCTACTCATTTTCTTCAGTATCGATACTGAAAATGCACATCCTCAAGATCTCTTCTCCCTGATAGCGAGTTGACACACACACACTGCAGCAGTGCCCACATAGCCCCGCCTCCTCTCACTCATAGTGCCATCTTCTCGTCTTGACTCGCTTTATTTTTTGACTGCCTTTTCGACTTGTCCCACCCTACTGTGCTGTGATTGGCTAGTACTCGTCACTAGGGCTGCAGCTAAAGATGATTTTAGTATTCAAAGCTTCTATAGATTATTTCAACGATTCATGGATGAGCCATTTAAGAAGTAGCTACTTTTTCTTGGAGGCGGCAGCGGCTCCAAACCATGTTTTGTCAAGAAAACACGTGAAATGTGAAACGGGAAATGATCGATCCTGCACACGAAACAGCTGTTGTTTGATATTATAAAGATGGCAATTATAAAGACAAAGAATATGGGTGAAAGGATGGATTAGCACATGCAGGTAGCAGGGATTGTCTGAGGTACAGAGAGAGCTGGGGGTGAGTTAAAAGGTGCAGCTCCCCAACACCTAGTTATCTCTTGACTGTGAGGTTACACCTCACGGCCCAAAAAGAACAACAACAAACGCATGTGTGTACATTTACAGCTGAGGTCTGCGGCTTACTTTGGCTAGCCTTCAACTCAAAAATCAGTCATGATTTCAGTTAAATGCCAAAGTTGCAGTTACTGTTAACTTGTCTGTGGTCCGCTGGCAGAACACCGGCTTCTTTCTTATCAGGCGCCGTCGTGCTGTTGCCGAGGCGACATAAGTTTCGTTTTATGGTGGACGGACGGTAACATTACAGAGTTGTTGTTGTTTTCTTTAGCTTGAAATAATCCCATACTTTGGATACTTTCTTCTTTGTCCCTCGCTATTTTCTCTCTCTTCCTCCACTTTGCAAACAGCTTCATTATAATTACGTGGTGTTCACAGTGTAAGCATGATGTGCGACCGCTATAAATGTCCGTGCGAAACAGTGTGCTAAATAGTTTTAAACGAAGCATCGATGCAAGGAATTTGTGTCGATGCATTTTATTAATCATTGAATCGTTTCAGCCCTACTCGTCACTTTGTGAATGGATGCTGGCAAATGATACAAGCAAGCCCATATGCAAGCGATGGTACAGAGCGGTGCTAACAAAACCAATTGAGCAAAGCACCTGCAGGACTGACACGCCGTCCTCCATAAAGAAAATTGAGAGGTTGGAGACGTCTTCCCTTTCAACATTACTGAAGAAAACAGAAACAAGATGGCCCAGTAAACTTTTGTTAAGATAGTTGTCCTGTCGTTGGCCCAACAGTCATTTGAAATTTTCAAAACCAAGCTCCTCACCCTCCGGAGCTATCAGACCTGAGGAATCTCAGACAGCAGAATTTCAGTTAACAGGAAAATACTCAGAAGTAACTGATGCTTTTCTGGTCTAAATACCATTAAATACCATTACATACTTTGTTAGTACAGCGGAAATTATTTATAGTCTCAATTTCACAGGAGAATTATCTTAAGAGCAAATTTTCCTTAAGTAAGACCACATTTCCCTTTGCTTTATGTTAAAAGATGATTGAAGGAAACTTTAAAGGCTTATTCTGCATTGACATTGTATGGGATGGATGGTAGGGATGAGGAATTTTCCCACGTTAACAAACATGTTTGTCAACATGTTTATATGACTGCAGAGTTGGCTGTGTGAGGGTTAATAATACTGCTAACTGTAACAATAACTAATAAATTTGGTGTATATTTTCTTGAAAAACAGATGTCAGGCATCCGTGTTTGTTTGGTTTTCAGGGACTTTTGTATTATTAAGCACCAAGTCGGATATATCATAAGTTTTCTTAATCTACATCTCCAAGACTTGGATTTTTAGGTGAATGCTATTTACAAGTAAAAAAAACTGAAAATTACGATAACTCAGATATGAGATGATTCTGGCTGTCATTGATGTTTGAACAGCTTATAAAATTCTCAGGTTCCCTAGCATTTTAGTGTGTTAAGTTATTACCCTAAAGATTGTATGATGGTCTGCATCAGCCTCATAATTAGTTATTGCTTGTCTTTTATTCATGTGGATACTGTTTTCTGAATTGTGTCTTTATCCTGAAAGGTGACCTGGAGAGAAAGATTGACTTGGAGATAAGTCCTCTATGTAACCAGCAGGCTGACTCTGTCCCAGCCATTCAGATAGGTGAGTACTTGTGTACACACTTGCATACACCCAGAACTGTATACGATGTCATCATGTATCCCTGACTGAAGATGTTCCACAACTTACTAGGAGACGCCTTTGTGTTTTTCTCAGGGTTCATCTCCTACATTGTGGAGCCTCTGTTTGAGGAGTGGTACCGCTTCACCGAGCCCAGCTCGCTCAGCCAGACCATGATGGGTCATTTGCACAAGAACAAGGCCCGCTGGAGCCAACTGCGATATGCGCACACACCTTCAGACATGCAAAAACAACCTCATTCTGAGGAGCCCGTGCCTGAAGGAGGAGGAAAGGGGGAAGACATCCCTTAATCTCCATCTTGTTTCTTGAGGCGTTTTATCTCCCTTTGTGAACGGAGGAGGAGTGTTTAACCACCTCCTTGTTGGTTCTCCAGCAGATTTTCTCCCACTGCTGGTTGTTCGCAGCTTCTGAAAGTGGGAGCACTGGAAGGGAGTCTGGCTTGGATTCATGAGAAATGGCTCCCTCTGCTGGAGCAGAGGATTATAGCCCTGCAGGGGGGAAAAATAAGATGGAGAGATTCAAGGTTGGGCAGATGGAGGATAATCTTAGTAAATATATGCCAATTTGATAAAGTTATGCCTTTCTCTTTGACCCTGTGATATATCAAACTATCTGAGAAAAGCAGGAATACTATTAAAAGGTTGTGGCTAATGAAAGAGGAGGGATCAGTGAAGACAAATATTGTTTGCACAATGCTGCTAGAACAGTAATGAAAAATCCAAAATTATATACAAGTCAGCTGGGCTGTGCTGGAAAAGATGACATAAAATAAATAATAGAAAAAGAGGAATATATCCACTATATTATGCTTTTTAAACTTTTAGACAAGACATACTGCATTAAGCTCTTTTCACTTTTCCTCTTTTTGTACAGCTTTCACTTATATTAGATGCTCTTTCTTACAAGTGTCTCACTTATCTACTTTTCACTGACATGCGTTTTTAACTCAAGCACTAAGTTGGTATGTCAAGGTACTGTAAAATGTATTCTGTTTTAATGGTGTAACTTGTAAGACTGACTGAATAGGCCGATACAAAATAATGACTGACACAAAGTCAGCTTGATGGTTTTTCTGGACTTGAGCAAACTCACCGATGTGGAGAACACAAACAAGAGCCAAGTGTTTGTGTTCATGTATTGTTATGAACAGTATAATCTGTACTTACTGTGACATAAAACCTCAGCACTTCACATGCCAAAATCTCAGCAATGTATTAACCTTTTTACTGGGTGTGGATATTGGGAAATGTAACTCTTATACTGGTGTGACCTTAAAAACAACTTAATGGGTACATTTATGTATCAGATAACCTCTCTTTACAAGCTCATATACAACAAGGCCTTAACAGCAACTTGGTCTGTCTGTGAACAAGCTTTCTTATACTTCATTTCTGCCTGTTTGTTTTTCAGCCATACCAGCATACTGAAACACACACACACACACACACACACACACACACACACACACACACACACACACACACACACACACACAGTACTGTAGCAGCTTGTTTCCTGTTTGATCTTTCACCCAGTATCAGGGTCAGATTTTGTCTTATACCCATTCATCATTGCCAAGGTGCCAATGTACTGTTCTGACACATCATCTCACTGCTCTGTTACCTCTCTAATGCATTTAGATTACTTTCTTTTTACACATACTGCAGGCACTGTGTGCACTGCATCTTATGTCATGAACAGACTTGGGCCAATTAGTAATTGCAAATACCTCTAATTATAATATGTAATTCACTATGTCCTGCAGTGAGATTCAAGACAATTAAAATGTCTCTTACAGAAAAGTATATACGGTCATTCATTATTAAAAATATATACAATCTTAAATTATACTGTACATGTGTAATTTCAATGGTGAAACTGATATAAACTGTATATAAAGTATTTGTAAACGCTAGTTGGTCCAAGTGTAAGCTGTACTGATATAAAACAGAATTTTTTTTTAACCACTAAATATGTATAGTTACAATTGTCACATTTAAGATTCACAACGGCACTGCCGAGGCTGTGCACACGGTGCTAACAGAGGCCCCGGCCCCCACGTCTTCCCTGAACTATAGAGGAATAACCTGAGCTTTATGATTCTAACAACCCAGCTAACACACAGTATATTCTATATAAAATGTATATTTTAAAGTTATCACACCTCAAATATTGACAATTATCTAAAAAAAATTAACAATATATGATGCATTTCTGAAGGTTTATTTTTAAAAGTAACTGTGTGCAGTGCAATAAAGTTAAGTCCTGGCCAAGTTGTAAGAAAGCAGACATATTCATATCTATCTATAGCTCTGGTAAATTAATAAGCAAATCAGTCATGTCTTCGCTATAGCACTCCATTGGCTTTGCTGTAACTCCCACTCTATGTAACACTATTAAGTGCACACCGTTTATTACTGCCGCATTGTAGACCTAGTTGAGACAGGAGGCGTCAGGCTGCCTTGTATTTCGATACCTCTCTGAATCAGCACTGATACAGGTTTACTGAGCCATACTGGTTTCACTAACAAGTACAAATATTTACTGTATGTGTTTAATAAACATTTTTATGCCGAAGTGATTATTATGCCAGACTCAATATAATTATAATCTTATTAAAAAGAAGTTACTTTCACAAAATCAGTGACTGTGATTATCATCAGATCAGACACAACTAATGGGCAAAATTTAACAGGAATACTAATATGTCTGTAAACTATGACAGAGGTAGTTGAGTTAGTCACCTGATGGTCTGAAAGAATAACCCATCCCAGTGCCCCGGTAGTAATCGAACAGTATGCTTTTCTTTTTTTGACCTGCAAAATTAAAAGCGGGTCCCACTGAGGCAGATACACCATGTGAAAAATTTAACAGATCTCACCACACTGTCCACTTAGTTGTGGAGATGTAGATGTTCAAATTTCTGTTTTCTCTGAATACTTCAAGCACCTCTTATCTATGTTTTTCAAAGTTCATTCTTAACCAGCAGCTGAGAAATAATATGTCACCATAAGATCCATTAAGTAGCTTTCAGTCATATCATATGAAATTTTACGTTCAGATTTCTGTTCTCTCGGGGTACAGATCGCTACTGATAGCAGGAGATAGCTAAAGTAAATGCTACCTTAATGTCTTCGGAGAAAAAAAAGAATCTACTTAGTAATTATTACAGACTTTTTGAATGGGACCCTTCAAATGAAGCCAATGATATCCAAAATTAATTTTTGTACTGTTATTAGTAGCCATAACTAACAGTGCATGAGTTGATAGAGATGTTTGCGCTGTGTTCTATCAAGTGATCCAAACAAGACTGACTTGTCTAATCTGAATCTCTGTATTTTGGTGTTTGAATGGGTCATCTGACTTCTTGACTGTATACGTTTGTCCTGACAACCAGCCTCTGAGCACTGTGAACAATAAAATAAATGTTTTACAATTAACATCCGATGCATTAGGTATTCCATGCGTATTTGTGTGTGTTAGAAACAAGACAGACTTACAGAGAGATACAGGGGACTGACACTGTTTGACCACTAGAGGGCAATAAAATCATTTCAGTGGCTCTGTGTACCAGAGGAAAACACTATTACTCCTCATGGTAGGGGTACATTATGGGCGCCTCTCCCTGCTGCTTTGTTTACAATATAAATACAGTTGTCAACCTGTGAGTCAACTTGATGATTTCTGTAATGTAAGCATAGCTGGGGGCTATGAGCTCATATGTAAATAAAAAAACTTGAGGGAAGACAGGCTGTAATCAAACAGCGTCAAGTTGCGCTTAGCTGTAGAGCTTGCAGAGCAAACAACAGAACATAAAGCTGAATGAGTCAGTGTTGAATCATGAAACTTTATACTGAGTTACTGCAGGGAGGTTGTTAGCGTCTTCTCACCAACTTACAAGCTCATTTTTACAGAACGTAGAGTGCATAAAGCAGAATGATAGAGTTCAAAGATAAAATATGAGCAGAAGGGAGGGAAATGTAAAGTGAAAATAGTCAGACAAAGGAGAACTAATGATAAGAGGATTAATGGGGATTTAGTATTCAAAAGAGAAGACCAAAGAAATGTGAAACTAGTGTAAATATATGGATGAAAAAGAGGTAAAAGGGAAAGCACATTGGATAAGAGATACAGATAGTGTGGTGAAGAAAGTGGTACAGGCAGCCTGTGTTTCCCTCATTTGCACATCTCTGATTTGCAATGCAAAAGAGGCTTGTAGATTGTGACAGATGCAGAGTCCACTTGTGATTGGTCACCTATTAATCTTTAATTACACCATACTGGTGGACTAAAATTCATCTTGTGGACAGTTAGGAAAAGGTGAGGCAGGTGTTTTAGTTTGCTTCAACTCCAGGGAGGATGAAAGTGCACACTCTCCAAACAATAAATTGTGTTTTTTAAGGCCCAAATCTGTTCATCAGAGCATGTCTTACCGCCTTTCTGTCTCTCACTCAAACACACACACACACACACACACAATTCACCTCAGTCAGTCAGAATGTGTCACTGTAAATATTGACACTGCAAACAGAGCCCCCTCTTTTGCCCCTTAAATGACCGTCGACCATCAGCCCAACAGCCCAACAGCCCAACAGCCCAACAACCCAACAGCGCATCGTGCTGATAACCATCTACCTCCAACATGAAAAAGACGCTTTTTTGGCATTTTTAACCAATAGATGTGTGAGTACTGTATATAGTAATACTCCATCACATGACATCCATACACATTTAATTTTTTCACCTAAGTAAAAAAAGGGGGACGGGGGTTGATCACATGATGAGCTGAGAAGGAAATGTCAAGTGAACTCTGACATCTCCTTGGCCTCACTGCTGTGAGATGAAGAGTTAAGACTGTGTGTGCCGAAAGTGAAAAATGAAACTTGTGGTCTTACACTGTGTCTGTCTCGCTATGTCTGTCTGGCCCCTGTACTGTGCCCTGAAAGGGTTAATCTCCTGTTGTTTGTCATTGTCCCTGCTATGTGTACTGTATTATGCTCTCTTACTGTGCATTATGTTTCTTTCTTTTTTTGAACAACAAGAATGTATGCCAGTTTAATGCAGTCCAACAGCACTGCTATAACTACTATGTTTCTGAAGCGTGTGTCTCTGTTATTCTGTCCACCCCCTCTACGTTAGCATGTGAGATATAAATATGCGAATGATATCTTACTCGCTCTTTCTGTACCCCACTGTCACTTACATACAGTACATACTGCACAGTTTATGTCACCATGTAGATCAGCTATTCTATTTTCAACTTCAGAAAATGAGGAACTGCTGTGGCCCTCCCGCTGGTGTAGGAGTGGGGCACCCTAGGCACCTTTTTGCCAATGTGCTTTTATTTTTACACCAGAGAGGCACATGCCAGAGTGCCACTTTGGTTTGCTGTGTTGTAAACGTTAATGTAGCATTAATCCTGTGCACATTAAACGAGACGTCATTAATAATAGTGTTAGACGTTCAAGCAATACCTAAATATACAATATAGGTGCGTCACGCTGTATCACTAATGCCACATTTTGTACTCATAACTGCTTTCTGTGTCACAAAGTAATTCCTCACTAAAGAAGGAACAATTCATCGTGATATTATCTTTAAAGCTCTGCTGTTTTAAATTATCTTAGATCTCTTCTCTCATTTAAGTCTTGTAAATACAGTACACAATCTACTTACAGCTTAACCTTGAATATTCCATATGTACAGAATGTGCAGAGATCCAGGTAACATGCACCTTGAACTGCAATCTCCCTCAAGTGAAATTCTTTCAGTCCCATTTGGAGATTCAAAAATGTACTATTGTTTTTTATGCCAGTTATTTTTATTAATTCTATTTCCCGCTTGATTATTGGTTGACTGGCTTTATACTGCTTGTGCGATTGTCTGACTATGAATGTTGTTTTCATGTCCTTCTTGACAAAGAGATCTTGATCTCAATGAGACTACCTGAAAAAAGTTACTAAACACATTGAGCATTGAGGTGAAATCGTGGATGTGTTAAATAAATATATAAAGATTATTTAAACTAAATGTGGTGATTACAAAGAAATTAGTGTTGAGTAAAAGACCTCCAGACACTGATTAACAGTCAAAGCTGAAACTTTAATTTACGTTAAATCATAAATTATTTATACATTTTTTGATGATAAAAGCTATGCATTCAGATATATACACTGATGTATGACTAAAATTAATTGTAAACTGGATTTTGGCGGGTTTACACTCCACTACATCCCTGCGATTGAGTGTTTCTGTGCAGCAGGTGGTTTCCAAGCAGCACTCTGTGTTGTGGAATGACTAAAGCGTACACTTAGGGGAAATAAAGGGTTAATCTGTCATGCAGTATTGAGATGGCTTATATGCAACACCCACACATCCACAAACATTCTGAAAACAAATATGTACATGATCAATATCCAGGAGCAAAACCTGTTTGCGCCGCTGACTGTGTGTGTGTGCTTGAGTGTGTGTGTGTGTGTGTGTGCGTGTGTGCATAAATATCTCTTATCTTATTTTCTTAACCCCTGTCCTTCTGCTGTAACTCTGACTAAATGATACACCCTCAGGTTCTCTAGAAGCACACCTGCCACATTTCACCTGCTCCGTTTCAGTGTGTGTGTGTGTGTGTGTGTGTGTGTGTGTGTGTGTGTGTGTGTTTGTGTGGATGATGGACAGTCAGTAGTGTACATCTAAGCACAGTCATTAGTGTTCATATTTTCACAGTGTGGTGATTTTGTGTTTTTTTGGAGGGTTAATGCATGTGTATGTGTACAGATTTCTTGGCTGCTTTCAGAAATTTGCATACTGCAAATATGTGTAAGAATGTGTGGGCAGATGAGAGGGCTTTTAGCATATGAAAAGTACATGATGAACATAGGGTTTTTTTTAGTTTTTCTCTGACCATTTGACACAAGCCTCAGTAACAGATTATTATGCACTTAGGGCCTAGCTAGATGTTCATTTCCAAACAGGGGGTGCAGCGACCTGCTGTGACTTATTCATTATCACACACAGTGAGAGTGTTTTTGTAATTTGTCACCAAAATATTTAAGTGGGTTGTGTATGGTTTCCTGTCTTTTCCTGATGTTTATGTTGTTAAAATAGATGCCCTGGTAGTGAATTTTGGTCTTTGCAGTAAAACCCACACGTTTGTTGCAGAAGTAGAACCCAAAACCTTGAATCTACTAAAGGAAGAAATAGTTTAAGGAGTAACCTATTCCAGTGATTTATTATTGTACCCATAAAGTCGGGGTACTCAAAGGAGAAAAAAAAGAGGGGTCAAATCATTTTAGTCCCTGGTATGGGGTATGCTCAAAAATACTTGATCCTACAACTCCGATGATGCACCTGAGAATGATGATATCATCACAGTTATGTTTTAAGTTATTTTTCTCAAACTTTGGAAAACTCTCTCTAGAGCCACAGAAAAGATCATTTGACTGTATTCGTAGACTGAGTAGTACCCATTAGTGAGCATTTGTTTGTAAAATTGTGAGCTGAAATATTCCCTCTCATTTTTCTTGCTGGCGGCTTCAATTTAAGATACTTAATTTATGAAAATACTAACATACTTAATAGCGTATTATTAAGTGTTGCTTGTGGCCCCCAAAAAGTATTGTGACAGGGGCCCTTCATTGTTTGCATGAAACCAAATCTATGCTGGTTTATGCAGTTCCCGTTCAGGCCTGGTGAGGGAGTACAAGCAGTTTCCAGTAAGTCACGTCTCCTCCTGTTGTTACAAGTACAGTTCAACCTGCTCAACCTGTTCCTCCATCTCTGCATCATTAGTCAAATCATATTGTTATCACAGTCACAATTATATGGGCTCAGTAAGGGCTCCTTGTTGCTGCTGTAAACACAGTGTTTAGTTTTGGATGAATCCATGCGTGTCAGTGTTTATTTGTATAGATTTGGCGGATCTGCGATCTGTTTGTGGTTTGCACGGCCAAGTTTTATGGTAGGATTGTGTTTAAATCCGGAACACCGCCTGCAGAATCTCAAATTTACCTTTCGTGTTTTGGAGTTAACACTATAGAGTCGTGTTCAGCAAAAGTGTGAAACTCCAGTCTACTAAATGATATCACCTTTGAACTGAAGGTAGACGGGCAACATGAGACTGATAGGGAGCCTTTGGAAGATCCTATAGAATCCTTAATTACCCAAAATAGAGCAAAAAAATAACTTCAGTAGTATTCTAACTTAAGGACCAATGGGGCCACAGGGCAGACCCACACATTTGCATAGTCAAAATGTCACCTGATCAATTCAAAGAGGCTCCAATTCACATCAGGGCAGTGAGATTTTTAGAGTGATTATGTGTATGTTTCCCTATACATTTGTTTGGTTCCAACAAGATATACAGTTTTATAGCCATTTATACCAGAGGTATAAGGTAGTATTATATATCCACATGCTGTATATCCACATGTTTGTGTTAAGGAGGAAAA